ACCCCGACAGGGTGGCAGCCATGGGGTTTCTTGGCCCTAAGGATCTGCCCCAACGTCTAGATTCGGCCCCCGAGACCTTTACTAGCTTCTGAGGATCCAGATCTCTTTGGTCAGGCACGGAAAGAAGGGGCAGGAAAAAGCATGACCTGATTCTGAGAGAATGGCAATGGTCCTGTGACAAATAAAACTATGTTCTGGGTAAAAAAAAAAAATACAAAAATAGGAAGAGGAGAGTTTTAGGCATGAAAGCCGGCTGGGTGACTGGGTCAGTCGCGCTCTCAGCCCAGCCCACCTCACAGGGTGCTTGTTGTGGAGAAAATAGGCAGGAGTATTGGCTATGTTTGCCACCTTGATTTATATGTAAAAATGGGATAAAAACCCTAATCATGATTATCTGTGGACTTATCTATAGCAGTTATTTATATCCTGGTCACATGGCTTCCAAGCAATAGAAATAATTGTAAATTACCATGCAATAAATCATTTAAGATCCTTCCTATAGGGCGGCTGGTGGTAATAGCTCAAGATGGGAAACAGCCATATGGAGCTGGAGACCAGCTTTTTCTGCCTCTCCCTGCAAGGCAGTTAATGGTGATGGCCTTGGGGGACCTGCTGGTCAGAGTCTCAAGGTAGAAATAGGAGGAGGTTGCAGGCATTCAAATGAAATGATTTCAGGTTGCACCCAGAACTTTCCTGACTTCAGAAATCAGAAAGAAATCAGAAGGAAAGAATGGTTGAGCTCCCATTCTTTAAAAATATAAAAAGTGGCTGTTACCTGAACTTGCTTATTACTGGAAGATTTGCTTTCTCTTCCATTGTCATGTTGTAAGTCTTTTCTGGTGATCACTTTTGTACTTAAGGGCAAGGTGTGACTGAGTCAGTGCAGTATATGTACTTCTGGCATTCAGCGCAGTATATGCACTTCTGGTATTCAGAGAGTAAGCTGTTTTCCCCATGGAATTGTGCCAAAGCACAGTGAGATATGACAGGTGGTGTTTTTGCTGTGGCATATTGGCTGGCTTCACACAGCACACTAGACCAGACTAACATGGATCTTGACAATTTGTGGGTTAAATTCAGCTGTTTTCTTTGCATCACACTAAGGTATAATATACATACTTGGGCATAGCATGTTGTGTGTTTTGTTTACTGGATTTGGGGTCAAGTACATTATGTAAATGTGTCTAGATGAGGCTGAAAGAGAAGAGTTGAGTTTCAGCCACTGTACTTAAGCAAGCCCTCACATCCACTCATCTACCG